AGTTATCCAATTTTTGCACGACTCAGTCAAATTAACTAATGGAGTATTTTCAATCTAACTAGTCAGGAATGTGTGGTGTAATCTTTTTATATACCAACGTGCTAAGTTTAAGTGACATACTCACTGACTTTGTTATCCTTCTTTACACAACTATATGTTTTGGACTCACACATAATCAAATCCGGTATCCAATTAGGCATTGTAATTATCATAATATTTTGTAAAATATATTGTTATTATTTCATTTTTTGCCAATCAATCTTATTTCCTAATCCTATTGACTAAATTGCAAGATGTATTCCCATTCAAATCATGTTTATCTCATTTACCATATTTTGAAACAAAATATTTGAAGAAAAAATGACTTTGCTTATGAAAATATAATTATGAGAAATCTCAAACTAGTTCAGTGCGGCTCAAAAATTTTCATCCATAAATATACAACAATATAGTTTGCACAGAAAAAAATATTGAGAAAATTATTATTTTTTTCGCTGAAAAAAGTACAAATAATCCAAACATTATAAGAAATTTAAGACCCATATCTTATATATTTTATGGTTCAACTAGTTTTTGCCGTATGTTTTACCGGTTTCAATAAATATTAATTAACTTTATTAATATAATATAATTAATGTATAAAACAAATTTAATAAATAATAAAATTGATTAAAAACTAATAACAGTGTAAGAATGTTAAAAGTAGGTGTATAACTTTGTAAATAAATTAATAAAATCATAAAAAAATATTTTTATTTAAATACGGCATATCGTGTATTGTAGCCGGTACTTTTTAGTATGAAATCGAATAAACTGGTATTTTGACAAAAATGGTATTTGGAGGGTTACCGTAAAGGCCGGACCAAAATCAGGTATTACCGATAATACCAAATCAGTACAGTACTATATTTATAACATTGCGTCCGTCTATAAACATACATGCCAGTTTGTTTATTTTGTTAGAAAGAATTTCTTTGTGATCTTTACTACATGTTGCTTATTGTAAATTGTGCTATCAGTGTATTTAGGCAATTAGCATATATAATCTCTTATTTTTATATAATTTACTGTGCATTTATATTTTTTTACACGTTTTCGTGTAAGTATTCGATGAGTTTAAAGCTTTCACTTAGAATCAGTATTTTAATCTCAAGTTAAGCGACACTTCTAGACGTTCCTTGCCAATTTGCCATAATTACTATTATACAAATTAAAAATTTAACACCAAAATCAATTCCTTAAAACATTGAAAACTAATATAATTAAAAATTATTATGTTAATGTATAGCACTCTAACGTTATTTTAAAACTAACAATGCAATTTTAAAAGTTTTAAAAATAAAATACTTTTCTTTTTTCTTTCAAAATTGCAAATAAGAGGAGAATGTTTATTTTGAGCACTACAAAATAAATTATGAAATTGTAAAGTAAATATATTTCAATTGAATTTAAATGGCAATTCCAGTAGATATTCTAATACTATTATTTTCGTTAAAATTTTTCGGTGGATTCCAATGAAAATATTCCGATGGAATGAGGGTTTCATTGGAATTTTCATTGCATTTTCAATGTTAGATTTTTTCAAAGGTTGAAAAATGAGTGAAAATAAATTTTTTAATAGAAATGTATGTTTTAACAGAATTTTCTACTGTACCAATTTAGAGGGTTCTAACTGATGTTACTTTTGAAAGTATCAAATATTTTAATAAAATATGTATGTTATAAAAATAATTCTTCATGTGAGCACAAATATTCTACTTTAACTAAATGGATTGATAACGTAAGACGAGCAAATTGGAAAAAGTGAAAGCACGTCCACATTTAATTAATTTAAATCGGAGACCATGCATGTATTTCTCCTTTTCCAACCATGGGCAAATTATTAAAATTTAAAAGTCAGTCAGAAAATTTTCATCTCATATCCCTATTATTCTTAACCATGAACATCATTTTATAAAAAAATATTACGGTTGAACGTTATTAATTTTTTTTTTTTTCTTTAATCCCAAGCCTTTCCCCCTTTCCCATCTTTTTATTTTCTCGATATTGCTTCTTCTATTTTCTGACTAATTTTCTATTGACATAAAGAACAAATGAACAATTATAAAACATTCCGATTCACTGGTGACTAATTTTCTATTTTCGGGCATGCTTGGATATAAAGTCAATCCAAAAAATCCAATCATTTTTAACTCAACCATTTTTTTTAACTCAACTTTAACTCAATCTCACTATCATTAATTTTATCAATATAATTAAATAATATCAATCAATTATTTTTACACACAACATCAACCTTAATTCACTATTCATCAACTCACATAATTTTAACTAACCATCACATCACATCTTCTCTCTCTTACTTTTACATCAAATTAATTTTAATCATTTTATTTTAAATATTATTTTAATTTACCCACTAACAACTAACCATACCAACTTTTCTAAATTTAACCAAACCAAACCAAAAAATCCAATCAAAACCAAAAAAATTTATATCCAAGCATGCTCTAATTTAGAAGACTAAGTTCAATGCCATTTGAGAAGACTGTGGCCCATTTGATAAGAAGACTGTGGCCCATTTGAGAAGACTGTGGCCCATAATTTAGATTTTCCAAAGATATGAATTTCTACATAAATGGGCTTCCAAACGTTTGTTTTCCTATCATTCGTTGGGGGTAATTTTTTCATATTATTATCAGCACTTTTCTTAACCTGTTCTAGATTAGGTCGCGATACTTNATAATGTAAGCTGATTTCGAAAGAGCTAAATGTGAGGTTTTTTGGAATACAAAATTGCTGGTTTATTTATTTTTACATACTAGACCGTTACTAATTTACAAATTACTTACGCAATTTAGGTGGTCAAAAGTGTTTAACATCTATTCACCATCAGTTAAGTGTTCACACATCTTACATCACATAATTAGCGCATCTCCAATCGATAATACTCAAAACTCAAAAAATGCAGTATTTTTACTCCAACGGACACTCATCCCCAAACGCAAATTTGCGTTTATCCTGTTCACCAACGCAAATCTTTTAAAAATTGCAATATGACCGTGATAATGGATAGATGAGATAGGGTGTATTTATTTCCTTTCTTCTTTATAAATATTTATGCCACTAATTAATTTTTAATATATCATCTGAATATAAAAGTTAACTGAATGCCAAGAATTAATGTCAACAATAAATTCTTGAGGATAATTATTTCTAGTGACGCCAACCTAGCAGGTTTCTATAATATATAACTTGTTTACTTTTTATATATTTAGTTGTATTGATGTATTATATATGTTTATATGTTTAGCTCTATTGATGTATTTTATCTGTATGTATTGTATTAGCTAAATTTTATTTATTTCTCAACGTATTTTATTTTCAGCTCGTGTAATTTTCAACTTTCATTGAATATTTATTTCTCTAATTTTCTTATGTATATAAATTTGAACATAATAGTTAATTTTATTACATAAATTGTTAATCGAATTTAAATAATAATATGGTTTAATTTGTAAAGTTGTAAAATATGTAGGTAGTATTGAAAAGTTATAAAAATTATAAAAAAAGGAATATTCTGAGAATATTCTTTTGGGTTTGAGAATGAGTTTTTCGGTTGGAGATGAAGTACTGTTTGATGAGACATTTACTGCAAAATAGATTTGAAAATGAATTTTTCGGTTGGAGATGGTCTTAGAATGAACACTCTCCTCGTTTTAAAAACATAGTACACACACTTATCTAGAGGGTCTAAAATATTTCCAAAGAAACGCCTTAGTTTAAGAGGAAAAAAAAACTAATTATTAAAAAACTAATATAATCGAGTTGTTAATTAAAATAATAACTAATTCTCAATAATTTCTACTTCACATGTTGTCACAAGACTATTTGGTGCCTAAAAAAAGAAAAAAATAAAAATAAAAGAAGAGGTAAATGAAAAACTTCGTGGGCCCTCTACTATGCATTAGCGAATTTCCATACTCTATCATGACATCAGGCCCAAATAGTTTCAAATCCGACCAAATGCTAAGCCCAAAAGACATGTAGGCCTATTTCAAATGTTTCCCATGTGCCCACCACTCACCTGCTGCCACGTAACGACAATTATAAAAAGGCAGCAGCTCACGCGTTACCATATTTGTACGTAGCCACGTTTTCCTCAACGTGACGCCGTCAACCTGAAAATGGATCCCATAAAAGATTCCATCTCTAGCCACCCAATTAAAAACTATCAATTAATTAATAGATTGAATAATTCGGACATCAAAATAAAATTTTAAATTAAATGTTGGACTTTTTGAAATGGACAAGAGAAAAATAAATGATATTTTTATCTCACGGGAGTCATCAAAATTAAAAAGTACACAATTTGGTCATTTCAAGTGTTCCCACATCAATTTTAATAATGAAATATAAAAATAGCTGAATTTTATTGCGATAATTATTATTGATTAACTCATGTATTTTCAGTTTTTACTTATTATGCTTACTTCGCAGTAAACTAATTGTAATAATTACCTTCATATAAAAAATTATTTTCTTTCAAATAAACCTTTTTTTGATTGATAAAACAAAAACATATTCATCTCAACCCTACATCTCCTAATCCAAAGATTGAGAAAATACAAGCTTTATACAAATTATTGATTGTTCAAAGGAGTAACTAGATGTATTAAACGAAACTAGTGGTTCGTGAGTTCAGTTTGTTAAGACGTGAGTTCCATTCTGACAAACAAGTTATAGCTCGAAAATAAATTTTTATGTAATTTTTAATAGTTCCATTCAGTAAAGCTCAAGTTCAGCTCGAGTTCGACTAATTAACATTGATAAACGATTTAAACTTAAATTTGTTTAGTTAAAATCATCTAATATCTCAAAATCGGATTGGCTCGTTTACACCAGTAGAAGTAACAATGAAATTGTTTTCCTCTTTTTCTTGGGTCTCCATGAATTGTTTTTTTTTTTCTTTTTCTTTTTTTAATATAAAAGATAAAGCCGTCAATTTTCTTAACGTCCGTTCAACCTCGAATCCATCAACGCAACGCAGATGGGGAATTTCTTTTCTCGATTCCTGCCAAACCTGCCTACTCGGTTCGGATCCGACAAACCTCAGGCTCCGTAAACCCGAGCCTCAGCCGCTCTCTTAAAATCATTCGACCTGCATTTCCCTTTCAAAAAGCGACTCACAAAAGTTTTCGCAGTACAGTAAGAAATATTGTTGTCCGGCGGCGATTGAGATCACAAGTCGGAAGCCATGGCCGATCACGCCGGCGAGCACGACCAAAAGGAAACATCCGCTGAATCTCTGATGGACAAGATCACGGATAAGCTCCATGGAAGCGATTCGTCCTCCGATTCTGACGACGGTGAGGATATCAAATCGGCAGCCTCCGCCGTTAAGGCCAAGATCTACCGCCTATTTGGCCGTGAAAAGCCGGTTCACAAGGTTCTCGGCGGTGGAAAACGTATGAATGCGTTATATTCTATACTCTTACCAATTATTTTTGAAGAAATCTCGATATATTTGCATCTTAAGTTCTGTTTGTTATATTGAAGTAGTTGGATTTTGTGTTAGTGCTAATGATGAAGTGCTGAGTTATGTGTTTTTGTTTTGCTTGGGTTAGTTGATACCATTTCATGCTGTTTTATGGATTTAAGTTGTTGTGACAAAAAAGTTACGGGATATGAACTGTTATTGCTTTGTTATGGATCAGGACATGTTTGTAGTCACTTGGTGAAAGTAGCAAATGAGATATTTCATTTGCTACTGTAAGATGCAGGGATATACTGTAATGTGGTTCATCAGTTGCAGAGTTGGTTGTTCGAATGGATTTTTTTGGTGATACTCATATAAGCATTGACATCTTTTGTTTGTGTTTTTACAATTCTGGTATGGGTTTGGAGGTAGTCTGGAAAATGTAATTTCCAGAGTTTGATTATTGAGAATATTTTGCTTTGTTAACTGTTAGTCTGCTTCCATTCCATTGCAGCTGTTAAGAATGAACTTTATTTTTTGAACATGAACCTCATTTGGTTTCATTTCTACTTGGGCCTGCTATGACATGGCTATAAATTGTGAATCTGGATTGTCTAAGCCTATCTGGTAAGACATTGTTAGGTCTCCTGCTCTTTTGAAATTGTGTTCCCAAGTTTCTAATGATTGATTCCAACGATACTATTTGTTTTTCCATAGAAAATATAAGCCAAGTATTGGAGATTTTTTAGTCCCCAAAGTTTCTGAAAACACAAGGTTCTTGCTTCTCTTGGAAATTATGTGAGAGGATTATATTATTCTTGGAAGTCAATCTTCACAAGTGTCTTATTCAACATGTCATTGGAGTTATCTGTCATACCAAATAAGATTTTTACATGTTTGAAAGTATGTGAGAGGATTATATTATTCTTGGAAGTCAATCTTCACTAGTGTCTGTATTCAACATGTCATTGGAGTTATCTGTCATACCAAAATAAGATTTTGTAGATCATCAATGATAGAACCAGAGCAAAGGAGTTATATGTTTGCTTTTTCGGTTTTCCTATTAATGGATATTGAAATCCGACTTGTACCCTGAACACAAAGTGCGTGTGTATGGTTGTTGAAAATGATTTTATATTTACTCAAGCGATCATTTGTTCGGAAAACACATTTTGTTCCCGGTGATGCACCTTTTTACTGGCATACTGTAACCTATACTGAAAGAATGACGAACGTTTTTTCTACTGGCAGCGGCCGATATTTTCTTATGGAGGGACAAGAAGATTTCAGCTGGCGTTCTTGGTCTTGCAACCGCTATTTGGGTGCTTTTCGAATTGGTTGAATATCACCTGCTCACACTTGTCTGCCACATCCTGATTCTCACTCTTGCAATCTCTTTTCTGTGGACAAATGCTTCCTCCTTTATCAACAAGTATGCTACTTGCTGACCTTAAAACCTCCCGTTAAATGTCACATTTTTTTTAGCCGTATATAATATATTTTACTATATCTCTATTCTTCAGGTCCCCACCTAAGATCCCACATGTTGTGCTCCCTGAGGATATTGTCCTAGGTGTAGCGTCAGCCCTTAGGATCGAAGTCAATGGTGCTTTCTCCACTCTTCGAGAAATAGCATCTGGGAGAGATATAAAGAAATTTCTCGCCGTATGTTTGAATTATTTTACTAAATTGTTGGTATTTCGTGGTTAGAGTTTCAGTCTAATACGTTTGTTGTTTGCTTAAATTTAACTTTTGTTTTTTTTTTAGGTGATTGCTGGCCTTTGGGTTGTATCAGTTTTGGGGAGCTGCATGAACTCCCTTACCCTATTTTACATATGTATGTGTATTACTATACACTTTTGCCCAAGTTTTAAGATTTTTATCATGTCTGTTTTCCTCATTGTTTTTTCACTGGACTTTACTCCTTTCTATATAGGCTTCGTTTTGCTGCACACGGTGCCTGTGCTGTACGAGAAATACGAAGACCAGGTAGATGCTTTTGCTGAAAAGGCCGAGGCCGAGATCAAGAAACAGTACGCCGTTTTCAATGTCAAGGTTTTAAGCAAAATTCCGAAAGGTCCTCTCAAACACAAGTTCGCTTAAGATCCGACAAGGTTATGAAACTTGCGTTACTAGGCTCTTGGGTGGTAGGGTGTGCTTTCTAACTTTTTGTTGTTTTGGGTCATATTTTTTCTGGTAGAACCCTTGTCTGGTGGTTTGTGTTTGATTACATCTGATATTGAGCAGATTTGAGTTTTTAATTTGAAGATGCTTCATGGATAGCTGGATTTTATTTTGGTTTGGTATGTTTACTGAATGTGAATGCGTTGAGATTTTGTGGGGAATTATAGAGATTCACCTGGTCAGTCTTTTCTGACTTTTTGACTCCTCAATTTGGTGAGTTTGCATTCAAAAAGGTGATCACGGTGCATATCTTCTGTTGAATTCAAAGTCATTCCTTGCAAGCAATATAACTTGTGTCGTTATCAGGGAAAAAAAAAAAACAGTTTGTGGTTGATGTGATCATGGATAGATTGAAAAAGTAGGGCATCTTTCAGCAAAACTGAACGTACCACTTTGAATTCTAGTTTTATCCAATTAACTGAGATCATACATGGAGATCTATGCATTCTTTCGTAAACACAAAAAATGGTGTAAGAACATTTTTTGTCACAATTCGAGACCACATTGATCATCTGACAGTCTGCCTCCGATAAGCCCACAGCCTATTGCTAAAAACGGATGTGCTTACACAATCATCGTCACTGTCTGAAGAAGAATAATCCAAAATCGAGCTCCTTAAAATATATTCAACAATCTGGAAAAGGGAACACAAGCAAGCAATCAGCCGATAGGATTTTCCCATCTTTGTACAAGTTACAAAATTGCAGCAACTCACGTGTTGTCTTGATATAGGCGAAATTTGGTGGTTCCACCCATCTTTTGAATCAGTTTTATCAGGACATTTGGTGCTATTTAGCCAAACGACCGAACAGCAAACCCGACAGTATCCCCTGTAAGATTTGTATTTGCTAAAAGAAGTCTCTGCAGTCACAATT